AATTAGGCCTTCTCATATTACAATTGGAGAAGACAGATTCCATTAGCAGTATCTGAAATTGAGTGGAGAGCTGCACTGTTATCAGACTTGACTCATAAGCACTGCTATTAATCAGAGCTATGATAGCATTTATATATTTCAAGCTATCTGCTGCCGCTGTGATATTCTGCTACAAAGGGTTGATGGGACTTAGGAGAGTGAACAATAGAGCTTTCTGGGAAAAGCAGAGTAAATCAAGAAAGTCTATGACTTCCGCACATTCTGAAGGGATTGTGGTTTACATAAATTTTCTCCCAATTGGAGATTGAGCTCTTCCTCATCTTACACATGGGATTTAGTTGTCACTCAATGGTAACAGCTGTGAAAAGGTGAAGCGGCCCACCGCTCAGAATATTGCCTTCGCTTTTAAAGCAATTAACCCATGAACAGGAGGATACCTGGTGATATCAAAGGGATTAGGCCAGGCAGTGCATTATTAACATTTCCTTGAACTAATTCTAACTCTGACTAGCTGTCAGAAAAGACTCTACAGTCTTAAAAAAGAGTTTTGGCCCTGCTTTTTTCCCTTCAAAATGAAGTGCTGCTATTTGAGCCTAATGTGTCCCTCGACTTAGAAGAAAATGCATAGGAACCAGCCTCCTAATATGCTTAAGCAGTCTGAGTCAATGCAATTTTAATACAAGTATGAGAGAAATATATGACCAATTAACCAGGGACCAAGACAGATATTCTCCTGGGTGGAAATTAATGCTCCAGTACGTTCCCTTCTTCTTCAACTACAACTTGGTGACTATTTGTTACATATGCATAGTTACCTCTGAAATTAGGAAGAGCTTCATATTATTCTCTATGGCAATAATCTAAAATATTCTCTGAGCTGGAAAATGTCCCCTAAGCAGGAGATTCTACATTCTCTAAGGTATGGCATTTCATTTCCTATTCTTTATTCAATGGACTCTTAGCTGAAGCTATAGTAGCAGACACAATGCTCAGAATCAAGTGTTCCTTCTCCAAAAGTTTAATCAGGTTAATTTTTAGCAGCAGCATAATGTAGAAATATGTAACTTATAAAAAATAAAATACCCCATAAATAAAAAACTGGTACAAAACAATCTGCCAACAGGCATTTAAATATTACTGAAATTCATTGTAGGTTCTTTGCATCAACAGGCATAGTTTCCATATACCTTTATTTATTATTAATACACATATATTCTAGGTAAACCTGTTTGACATTAAGAGATCTGATTCCCTACTCTATAATATTAATGGTGTTAGAAAGTTTTTTTAATGCAAGTTTCCTAAAACAGTGCCTTTTAGAAAAATATATTTAAAAAACTATTTAATGGTTAGTGATTTTGTCTTACTTTTAAAATAAGCACGGAATTTCGATTATTAAAACTAAAAGTTTTACTTTCGATTCACATGAGTGTTCAATAAACATTGCTGAATGAATCCTTCTGTAGTTTTATTTGGCCCATGATAGTTTGAAAAGGATACGCTGCCGTGGAAGCCTGTTGAGAATATATTCCCCGCCTTGTAACAACCAAAATAAATGATACAAGATATGTCCTCATCTGAGATCATAAGCAATTTAAATCTTCCCTGAGGAGAATTTTTATACAATGCTATCAACACACTCCATTCTCTTTTAGTGATACCAGAACATCGGAAATGTAAGCACATTGATGTTTAATGATAGTGATTTCAGCTCCCCTTCCTTATTCAGTCTATAGGACCTAGTTTGATGTTTATTAGAAAATAAGTTTGAAATTCAAGTATGGGGCAATGCTAAGTGGTGTTCATGTTAGTGATTTACATTATCTATAACTTTTTTTATGCATCAATAGGATTTGTGAATTTCAAATCTAATACTTTAAATATCATTACTATCAAACTTAAAAATCATTTACTTCAATGGCCTTAAAAGAGAAAACTCCAGTTCCTATAAAACACTAACTGTATTATACAATCTTAAGTACACAGATGTATACGTTAATAAAATGAATACTATTTCATATAAATGAAATGTATTAAACTCCCTTAACAAAATGCAAGTTTAAAAATATCCCTGACCGGGAAAATAAATACATACAGAAACAACTGGCACAATCTTACTATTTTTAATTCAATAAACTACAGTGACACAGACAGCTTTCTGTGTGCTGTTTTACTCATATGCTTTCTACATTAGGGCAAAGCAAATATCAAGTTCTTGCCAACCATTAGAAAAGACTGACCAAAAAATGCAGTGTTAATGACATCTTACTGCTTTTAAAAGCAAGACAAAGATGCAGGAAAAGCAAAAATTACATAGTGATTGAAAACAACGAATAAATTGTTCTTTGAATCTAAGTCATGTTTACTGAAAAAAGGGAGCTTTTTACATCAACACGTTTAAACAGAAATTTGCTTTTGAAATACAATCTTTGTTTAAAAGGTACAGAAGGTCTTTATGTCCACCCCAAGAGCTAAATATAGTGAATGCTCTGTGAACAATTACCTGAAAAAAACCTAAACCTGTTAAAAGAATTAATTTACTGCACACCAGTCAGCATTAATCCCACATGTACAGTAATGTTCTCTTAAGTGATGGGGGAAAGAAAGAATAAAATGGTTTCCTGGATCAAAACCCTTGAACAACAAAATGGAATGATGATTTGGTCTGTAAATGAATAAAGTAGTGAAACGTCTCCTAAACAAATTCTGATAAAGGAGTCAACCTGTAAAGGAATACATTTACTGTATGCTGGGACTGGAAAAAAGCCGTCCCTGTAAGGGCTGTACAAAAACTGTGTCCTGCTGTTGGGTTTATATTCACAGAAGAAAGGTTTTAAAGGTTAAGTTCAGGTCATACAACAAATGAAATTGTAACAAGCCAGCTGACATTGTATAATGTCTTCTTCCACTCAATCAATAGGCTACTGTTAGTCCTATTACCATAGAGATGGCTTGCTCTTTCCTGAAGGGTGTCTATTGTTTGACAAAACAGATTTGCCACTTGAACTAGGTCGTTCCCAAAGGGCGTGTACCTTGTCAATTATTTGTATTCAAAATAATAAAGTATTTTCATATTAAAATGTATGTAAGAGATAATATTGTTAGATCCCTTTTCTGAAAGAAAGGAACTTTTCCAAAGTACTATATTACTAAAACCACTCAAATATCCAGTTTAGTCATATTAAGAATTTTTTATTTAAAACATATAACAGCAAGTATACAGATTTATCAAGACTATTAAAAGAAAAGGGCCACAAGCTAGTGTGCTAATCTAAAACCCATTATAATCAAGGACAATAATTAATAAAAGCTATTTTAAAATATGGACAACTCAAAGGAAAATTATTGTACAAAGCTATTTGAATTCTAAAAAGATAAAGATTTTTTATATATGTTTTTACAGTGGTTTTCATGTGGAACAGCATCAACAATTAATATATTAAAACACATGGAAAAAGTTTTAGAAAACAAATCCCTTTATTTGCATAAGAGCTATTTATATCCATACAGCATTTAGATATATGCATATGTTATAGAAATCATCTTTTAAAATACAGATGAACTATCAAAATAAGTACAAGTATTTTCTTTAAATGTCTTTATCTTAAATGTCTTGTGAAAATTAATAACACACACTCAACATAAAACAGGTAAGTTCTAAATTTCAATAGATATTTAAAAATAAAAAAGATTGTTTTTTCTATCAACAGAAGTAATGAGATTCTTAATTACGAAAGACACACAGGGAATAATTCTAATAAAGATTATTCTAATTATTTAGAAAAAATATTCATAACACAAATTAATCCAAATAGAGATGTTATTTTAAAATTTTCACTTTGTGAGGGGTGTAAATGTCTAACGATTACATTGTTTTGTACACCTAAAACTAATAAAAAAAGTGCAAAAAATTTCATACTTAAAGATTTTGCTAACAATAAAAAATAAATACAAATTAAATAATATAGGTAAAAATTTAACAAGTGATAATTATAACAAATCAATCTGAAAGCTTTCTGCAAATAGATTTAAAAGTAAAGTTTAGAGTCATAATTATGTTAACTTTTACCTTAGTATCAATAATTAAAAGGGAATTTAGAAAACAATTTAGGTCAAGGGCAATATTATGACTAATGCAAAAAAACAGTCTTCAAAATGACATGTGAAATTATGTCTACTCAAATTTGACTATATTTACATACAAAAATTATTTGTTTTTATAATCAAACCTGCAATAGTTTTTGAAAGAAGTGTTTTACTTTGGTTTTTCCTTTGCAGGAAGTATAATTTGTATTTTTCATTATAATCCTCTTAGGCATAGGTTAGACTGAGTTAAGAATGGAGGAGACAGAAACAGCAAAGACAGATGAGTTTACCAATACCCTAAACTAATGACCCGTTTTTTAAAAGCAGGGTAGCATTCCAAACTAAGACAGCCTTCTATCAGTGAAATAAGTGGGGTCTAATTTGCCTTCCCTACAGCTATAATGGAACAATGTGAAATCTTACTAAAACCACATCCCAAATTGATTTCCTTAGTTAATAGCCTCATTCCAAAAAGTATACAACATGTGCATCTTTAAATACAATATACAATAATTAGGTATTAGCTCTGAACCTGATAGGCAGCTGCCCATCAGCACTACTGTGAGTAATTAAATGATATTTACCAATTACCAAAAGATGAACTTCATATTGTTAAATTAAACTGGCCCATCTGCATCTTCATAAAATGACAAACCTTATTAGTTCTGCCTAACCAGAGAATTGTAATAATAAACTGGTGACACCTTCACTCCATTGTCTAAAGCAGTACCAATTGTGTAATTATTTGAGGGGTTAAATGCATATGAAATTACTGTAAATTAAGAAAGTGAAATCACATGAGTGATTAGGCAACCAAACGACAAATGATTTTTTTTTTAATGTATGTACTTGGGCTATAAGAAAACTACATTTCCAAGTAATCAAAATTAATTTTAACTAATCAACTACTTTACCTGAAAACGGTGAAAAAAAGTAACGATGCAGCTCCTGCTCCAAATAAGCCACACAGAAGATTGACTCGGTAGGCAACTGAACCAAAAGGAAATAGTTTAATTGCCAGTTTAGCCACCAGAGTGAACAAAGGGTAGCCAGGAGGATGGGCAACCTAAGGAAAAATTAGCAACGGTCAGAAGGTTTTCATCTAGTAAAGGAGGAGTCACACTGGCTTTCATTGAAAAGTAGCCCTTTTCTCTGGCAAGTATAAAGATTCAGAGCCAATGACTAACTGAATAGTGGTTTTCTAGTGTAATCCTTTTGTGCCAATACAAACAAATATTTTCTTTAGTGGATTTGGCATCATCTATCACATGGTGTGTCACCGAGAGAAAGGGTGACATATTTCATTGTCAATTCTTAAGCAGTTTTTTTCTCCAGGTTCACAGTACATTAGGGCCACTTAAAAGGCTATTGAAAAAAAAAAAAAGCAGGTTCTGAAATATCGAATTGGTTAGAAAGTTGAAAGACCACACTGCTATCGGATTACCACCATGCTGACAGTCCTCAGGTCTTGCCTAAAGGGATCATGCACCATAATAAAGTTTATTAAATAATAAACTTATTAAAACTGTTAACCCGATTTATTTTATTCTACACAGCTTATACAAAATTTGGGGTGATAATAAGCCAGCTACTGTATATATAGTAAAGGCTTTGCTTTATAATTTAGTTTAATTGGATTTAAAACTTAAAGTAAATTGTCACGTACTGTACTTATAAGTTACTAAAAACTGGGGTTTAAAAATAAATTAATCTACTTTATTCCATGCTTAATTAAACTTTCTTAATTCCTAAAACTGTTAATGAGAGCATTGATTAAACAATAAAACTAATACTTACTCCAAGCTCATGTGCGGCTGTGATCAGTTCCCCTGTGAAAAAATAATGTAAAACCAATAATTACTATTAGAAAATGACACTCCTCCAAAGTTTTCAAAATCCAAATGCTTGCATTGGGGTTTTGCATTAATTTGACTGGATAAAACTGTAAATCTGCAGAGATTTCACAGCATGAATAGTCTAAGAATATTTTCTCCCTTAGGTCTTATTGAACAAAGTATCTTTGATAGTTTTTAATAACTGGTCAGTGGAAATGTAGAGGATTCCTATTTTTAAAAAAAGGCTGATTATTCCCTCCTGAAAATTGTATACACTTGCAAGTATATACAAAAGTCTTCCAAAGCATTAATGTAATATGCTGTTTTATCCCTCAAGTATTTAATACAAAACTGTCTATATAGATGCAAACTTATGCTTGTAGAATGTGCAGACATTGGAGGTTTGATACTCCATAAAGTGTGCCATCCTGCCCTAAACCTGGCATTTAGAATCTTCTCTACACTAATTAGGTTGGGTATCTTGAAACAATTTCCAAGCGTCTATTAGCTCCAGGTTACTTTGGTAAACTCCAGCTACCATAATACATTTTTTTCAGACCATAAAATCATTATACTATTTACATTGTCCTGTATAGTTCCTTGCCAGAAGTGATTATTTCTAAAATTATTACGCAGTAATTCAATGCCTGTTTTGTTAATATTTTAAGTATCCAGAGCACAGGGACTATTTCTGACTCATCCCCGTACACAGTACAATGTAAGAAATCAATCAATATGAATTGATGATTTATGAAAGTTATTATCACCTATTAGAAAATGTATTAATGTCCATTTTTTATCCTTCAATGAATATCAATTTTTACTGACTGCCCTAGCCACAATGAAGGCCTTTACCTTCTTTGGCCTGGGCCACAGCAATAGCATTGACCAATCTTCTACCTCATCTTCATACTGAAATCACTTATTACTGCCCCAAAAGGCTGGATCATATCCCTAGCCTAAGATTTCTCTATGGCTGAATGAAGTTCAGATTCCTCAGCATGGCACGCAAACCCTCTGTGGCTTGAAGATTCCTTTACAAGGCTTATATCCATGAAACCAGTGCTCATCTTGGTCAAATCTCATTACCCACTGTTCCTCTGGAATGGTGCTATTTTGCACCTCTTATCACTCATTTTCTCACTCCGTATTCTCTCCTAAATCTTTCAAGGCCTAGTTCAATTGCCAGTTTCTCAGTCACATGTTTCCTTACACATACCTTCACCAGCTAATTCCCCCATCGGAATCTATCACTTATTCCTCTTCCATAGAATCTATTTAGCACTTATTTAGATCACCTTATATTCTGGTTAGTTGCTTTCATTTCTGTCTTTTCCATGAAGTTAAAAATATTATCCGATCCATTTCAGGGTCCTGTCAAGACATCACCACCTCTCCCTCCTCTAGCCACAAAGAACCTAATTCAAGCTCTGAACACAAAGATTGACAGTAACATATCACACTGTCATCCTTGCTAGTGACATCCTTCTTAGGTGAATGACGGCTTGCATCATGGAAGCCTTACAAGGGTACCCCAAGACAGGTATTGTTCACTTAAAGCAATTACTTAAGAGCACCTTTTATGTTTTCTGGAGGTACTCAAGAAAACCTTAGAAACCAAAGGCACTTTCTGTATCTTACACACTTTTTAAAGAGATTATGGTCTAAAAAATGTTTAAAACAGCTGTTCCCTTTGTACCTACTGTCAGCTATATTTTTATAGTTTTACTCTAGAATGAGTTAGCTCTTATGTCTTCAATTTAAAACTGTTTTAGATTATGTTCTAATTCTGTAGTTGCAATGAAACAGTGAAGTTCAAAATATCAATGTCACTATTCCTTCTCCATTTAAAATATACTTAGAATTACATTTAACATAAATAGCCCATTTTCTCTAACTTCTTTTTACCATTAAAGTCAATATGCTGTTACTCTTTGCTGAAGTTCTGACAGTATAAGCATAAATCTAGAATGTAACAAATCCATCAACTTTTATCAAATGTTAAACTTAAATCTATAGAGAGGAGATACTACTATTCAAAGCCTATAAATGTATCTTTGATAGAGTTAAAGGGGAATATTATTCTTAAAATTGAATATGATAAAGAGGGGAAGTAAATAGTAAAAAACCAAAAAACAGCAAAGAGCCTTCTGAGTCCCTGATTTCTCCGAACCCTTTATACTAGGGTTTCCTGAAATGTAAGTTCTTCCACTTGCAATCAGAATTATCTGGGTGCTTTATAAAAATGAAGATTCCGTGACCATACCCCAAACCTACCTACTCTAAGACACTCTGGCATTGGGGCCCAAGTTTCCCAGGCAATTCTCAAGTACACTCAAGTTTGAGAACCACAGTATTTTTGTCTGGGACACAAATGGGTGGCAAGCTCAGTTAGCAGATGCTTAACCTTTAAAAAATGAGGTTCTTTTATACTTTCTATATTAATTATATAATTATATTGTCATATATCAAATCTATTGAAGACAGTATCCTAATGCGAATTCATTTTCCCCAAGAATAACAAATAGAAGTGAAGGCTGGATTCCCACACTCTCCTCCAAAGGATCATCAGCACTCCTGCCCATAAATCAACTATGTGTAGCAAATGGTGCAAAATGTTGGCAAGGCCACAAAATGTGATGGATTTAGGGAGTATAATTTAAGACTTATCAGGAAGAAGAATACATGCTTTATATTGGTTTTGAGATGTGTTCTGTTTATTGATAGAAAATAGATTTCATAAACAAACATTCAACATATATGTACATTCAACATATATTATAAACAAAGTTATCAAAGATACGCTTACACAAATTTTACTGGCAATACTTGGAAGAGTTTATCACTCCCCTAAATGAACAAAAATATTACAAACAACCACTACTTAGAGTCAAATTAAACAAATTAGAACACCTAAAAAGTTTGGTAACTCCAAGTGAATAGATAACTTTATTCTTTTGGGGGGAATTAAAACATTATTAATATAGACATGGCAACAATCATAGGTTTTAAAGACTTTACATATCGTGGTGTGATGACGGATTTACCAAAGAATTTTGTGAAATTCTTTGACAGAGCAGAGGTTAAGAGATGATGTTTTAAAGTAAACCTATTCTGGTTCTTTCCTTGACTGTTCCTGCTTTCCAGCTGTGTGATTCTGGACACAGCTTACCTTTAGCTTTGTCACCTATAAAAGGAAGATACTGATAGTGCCTACCTCATAGAGTAGCAGCTGGGAAAATTAAAATGACAAATCCGTATAAAGCACTCAGAACTGTGGCTGGCACATAATAAGTGCTCAGTAAGTACTACAGACTCAAACAACCATAAGCAACTATCAGAGATTTTCTTTTCTGAAAGGTACAGAACTACCCAACCTCTGAATAATGCTCTCCAATGTCAAAACTCTCACAAACATAAAGTTATTTCTGTTATTTAATATAAACCTTGGAAACATGGTAACTTCACTTCCCACTATACTAATGAAACGTTGCTCCTCTGTGCTCAGTAGAACCTAAAAGAAAGAATAAAGGTAGTGACTTGGAAATGGAACGTCAATAACCCTCAATGTGGTAGGTAGCCTCGGAGTTGGACTTTAATGATCCCCAATTCCTGGTATTCTCACAGTGTAATCCTCTCCCCCTCGAGTATGAGCTGGATTTGACTAACTTCAATTGACTAACTTCCATGAATAATAAAATAGGGCAGTGGCATATCACTTCCAAGATTAGGTTACAAAATGATAAAGGTGCCATCTCTTTCTCTTAATAGAAGTTAGGTTACCCAGACCCACTTGGCAAAGAACTGAATTGAGCTTTATAAACGAATCCTCCCCAAGTTCAGTCTTGAGAGGACGGCAGCCCCAGCCTACACCATGACAAGCAACCTTATCCTGAGAAACAGCATCCAGCTAAATTATATGGAAGATTCCTGATCCACATAAAATAATGACTGTTTTAAACCACTAAATTTGGAAGTATCTTCTTATGCAGCAAAAGATAACTGTGCACTCAGCTTTTTCAATCTATCGATTCACTAGCTGAAGCTACTGGCACTGACAAAATTACTGGCCATTATTATTAGGCATTATTGGATGGTCACTTAACTTGGCAGCGAAACACAACCTGGGTCTTATTTCTCATACCAAATACATAGCAAGAATTCGTGTGATTTAAACGGCCCATGAGTCGTGAGTTTCTTTTTAATAGAAGTAGCTTGCTGTAAGCCACAGCCTGACCCTCCACTCTTTTATGTATTCCCCCCAAATATTCTGCAAGGCTGGTTCCTTCTCAGCATTCACGGCAACATCACCTCCTCAGAGGCCTGTCTTGACTAGTCCTTCAGAAGGAGCCACTGGCCACCCCCACTTCAGGGCTCACATTTCCCTCTTAGTGTCTCCATTAATTTCCCCCACTTAATATGCAGGTGTTTCCTCGGTAGTTTGTGGATTGTCTCTACCAGCACTAGAACACTTTCTAAGATACTTGTTCACCGCTACCGTCACTCCTTTCATCTGGATCACAACAAGCACGCAATAAGCAATACTCGCGAGCTAACAGGAATGGAAAGCAAAAACTTCAGGTCCAGGAAAATCATCTGCGGAAGTGGAGAGGTCGGTAAGTCCCTTCAGGCGAAACCCACAGAGCCCCGTCTTTTGAGAACTAAAGAAATCAGAGTTACATGAATGGAAACTAAGTCGGATCTGGAACGTAAAACCCTGGGGCACAGGCGGGTGGAGGAGGGCGCGAGCTGACGGGCACTAGTGAGAAGCACGTGGAGCACGGGAGAAGGGCAGAAGGGACGACCCTCAGAGTACTTTACCCGAGTCTCCCCCCGGCACCGAGGGGGGCAGCGTGAGAGCGAACACGCCGGCCACAGCGGCGAACACAGCAACGCTGCCGCACAGGCCCCCGGAGCGCCACGACCCCACCCGGGCTGCCCGCCCCCGGGCCGGGCCCCTGCCGTCGCCATGGAGACCCATGGACCAGTGGGGGCCGAGGAAGGACGACCGGGCGAGCCCAAGAACTTGGGGCAGGACCGAGCTTTCCGTACGAGCGGAGCCCGCGCGGCAGCCGCAGCGACTTCCGGGTCAGGCCTCCTCCGCAGGACGCACCTTTCTCCACTGGGGTGGGGGGAGCAGACAATGTCAGGCCTCGCAAAAGCCAGGCCCTGGGAGTTTTCTCACGCACTGGGGTTTACAGACTTATAACGTGCCTTAACGTAGCTCATCATAGCAAACATCTTTCTCTTAAGAAAGCAAGTCTGGGCACAGGGCTGCGGCCTCCATTGCCCAATGCCCCCCTGTCTCACTGACTTGGCCGGGTCTGTCAGAGACAGAAACGGGGTCGAAAACTGAGAGTGAGGAAGGGCTGCTTCTGCCCCCTACGGTGTGGGGTGGAACTACACGAGAACCAAGATGAGCCCAGAGCCTAAACCTGTAAAGCAAGGGAAGCTGTGTGTACAGTATGTTCAAAGTAAGTCAACAACTACTTTCATCACATGTGTTTACCACCATTAATTATAAGGCAGTGTATTAATTATTAAATCGCTGAGTAAATTATAAAATTATTAAATCTTCAGAGAAATTAAATTAAGCTAATTGGTCTATTATTTTTTTTTCTTATGGCATGAGGAACACTCTGCAGATGAGCTGAGAAACTTGAGTTTGTATATTACAACAAATAACCCATACCCTGATAAAGTTGTCTCCTACATTAATGAAGAAAGGTATTTTGATGGAGCTTTGACCACAAAGTAGGAAATGAAACAGAGACACTGTACTTTTCAACTGGCAGCAGTGCAAAAAAGAATGGGGACTACTGGACGACCACATAGCGCGCTCTTGATAAGATTTTTAAGCTTACATTTTACATTATTATAGCAATTATTCTGGATTATGAGTTCCTGGAGGGCAGGGGCTGTGTGGTAGGCTGCTCCTAAAATGGCTTCCAATGATCCCTGACTTCTGGTGTTCACTCCTTTGTATAATTCTCTGCCCTTGTGTGTGCGCTGGACCTAGTGACTTTCTTCTATCCGTAGAATAAAGTAAAAGTGATGGCTTTCACTTTGGCATGACTTCCATCTTGCTTGCATTCCCTCTTGTGGCTACTCCCTCTCTTGCCCTCTCACTTCCTCACTCTGATGAAGCCATCTACCATGTTGTGAGCTGCTTTATGGAGACGTCCACATGGCAAGGAATTGAGGGTCATCTCCAGCCAACAGCCAGTGAGGAAACTGAGGTCCTCAGTCTACCAACCTGCGAGGAACTAAATCTGGCCAACACCATTTGAAGGAGGTAGGAAATGGATCCTTCTCTATATGAGCCTTGAAATCATGGTAACTCCTGCTAAGACCTTGATTGTAGCCTGACAGAGGCCGTGATACAGAGGACCCAGTTAAGCCTCATGCAGATTGCTGTCCTATAGAAATTGTGAGACTATCAATGTTGTTGTCTCAATCCACTAAGTTTTGGGGTCATTTGTTACTCAGCAATAGATTACATAAAAATAGGCTGCCTTCTATTTCTTTTCTGATAGAGCATGCCAATTAACACTGATTGAGCCAAGAATATACTTCTTTCCCTTTTTATCCATTTCATCTTTTTTCTTGCTCATGAGCTTTATAAAAAGATAACTTTTTACCGTTGCAATTTTCTTTCAAAAGGGCATAATTCTTTGCCCATGTTTGGGAGGTAGAGGTCAGTTCTGGAAGTATGAATTTGGGAATCGTTCATGTAAGACATAGTCTAGGGAGAACAAAGTTGAGGCCAAATGTTAGCCTATATCTTCATTTAGGGAATGGCAGGAGAAGAGGTGTGAACAGTGGAAGAGAGGGATATGTCACAAGAAGCTAAGAAATAAATAAGTGTATGTGGTCAGGTTGTCACAGGTGAAGGATGATGAAAAGGGACACATCTATATTTTACGGGGCTTGAGTTTGTACAATTTGGAGAGTCATCTAAGCAAAAGAATACAAAACTGCAGATACAAAATTAGGTACAGGCATGAAAAGGAGCCTGGGCCAATGATGGTCTGTGAAACTCATGCTTTGTTAGCTTCGCAGTTAATTTCCTTTGAGGATGAAGAGTGGCCAGTTCTCTGTCTGTGCCTGACTCTCCCTCTTGGTAAGCATGCTGACTCTTCCCTCCTCCCCGAAGCGCTTCCTCCTCCTGCTTCAGTGACAGCATGCTCGTCTGGCTTTCCTTCACCTCTGGCCTCTCAGCCCTGGCTCTGCTTCTGTCGGACCTCCAGTTATACAGTGCACCAGGGCTGAGTTGTAGAATTATTCTTTTTGCCTTCTTTCCCAAGATGGTTTAATTGAAACTGTAAATAGTACCTGTAGGCTGATAAATCTCAAAACTACATGCCACCAACTTCTTCTTTAAGCTACAACTTTATTTTTTAAACCCAACTGCCTTGTGATTTCTTCATTTCTATGCCTAAACAGCATTTCAAACCTGGCAGACTGTGTCTGTCTTAGTTCCACTGTATACCTGTGCTTAAAATGGTACCTGGCATAAAATAGTACTTAACAAATATTTATGTAATGCGGTCCTTCTATCTTTCTGTACCATCCCACTCAGCTTACCTCCTCAAGGTCATCTCCTGATCCAAGATGGCTGCTAGTGCTCCATCTTTATTTGAGGAAGAGAAAGAAAAGATGGGAAGAGAAGGACATGCCCCATCCTTTTAAAGAGTGCTCTGGAAATGCTATTCCACAATTCTGCCATACCTCCGTGGCCACAGTTGAGAAATGGGTCACTCCTAGGGGCAAAGGCAGCTGAGAAATATACCTTTTCAGCTAGGCAATTTTCCAGGGTTCTATCACAAAAGAAGGAGAGAATGGATATTGAGAGGTAACTGGCAGGCCCTGCTATAGTTACATTTGGTGACCTGGAGGTATCTTAACCTTGAAAGTCCAAGAGGTCAGTCTCAGTAGAGTAGTAGATATGGAAACCAGGTAATAGTGGGTTCAGAAGAGAAAACAAAAGAAGAGAAAATAGAACACATTTACAAGAAGTTTTTTTTTTTTTTTTTT